TATACCACTATGAACATAAGTTCGCACTGAGATAAATGACAAAAATCAACTATCATTAAGTGTTGCGGATATTTGGTAGATGGATGTCAGACACAAAAGTTTTCCTAAACACAAATTTGAGAAATTCATAGGTGCAGTGATAGGCAGGTTAAGATTTATATGAATATAAAGTAATAATTTGTCTGATTCTCTACAACAAAGCATCACATTAACTTAGCTCTGTTTAACTCTTCGGTTGCACCTTATGTTTTGTATTTAAGCAAATACATTTACTATAAATCAATAAATGATTGTCAAACAATACGTAACTTTAATACATAACAATCAAAATTAAGATGCGATCTACGGCGAGAAAATGAATTTATTAAAGAAATATAGTATTACCGATTAAATGTAAACATGGGTTTAGTTAAAGGGTAACCAATGTAATATGTCTAGCTCTTAGTGTGAGTGCTGATTAAACTCTATCAGTCCAGTTTACTATGCAGTCACCAAACAAGGTGACCTGTCATTTTTATGAATGACTCCGTGGTAACATCTACAACTGCAACACTGAGTGACACCGATCCGAATCTGAAAAAAGACACGGGTTTATTCGAGGTCGGAAATACGCCTTCCCGGTGAGTACTAACAGGCATGAAACCTAAGTCCAGGACTATTTGCCAACCTCTTCCAACCACCAAAAGTCAGAACATAAGCTTTATTTGCACAAAAACATGTATTTTTAAGCCCAGTCGATCTTCTGTTCGTACCTTGATGCAAGCAATGATCCCATCAGTCAAATATCTACAAAAAACATCGAGAAAACGAGAACAAAGAAAATGACCTGTACCGCGAGACCATCGCCAATAACTGGTGAGATGCCTTCATCCTAGTTGGATAACGAAACGTGCATCATGGTACAAAACATACATGAAACGATAATTCAAACGCTAAAAAGAAATTAGATTTGTGATATAGACAAGTTACGAGCTCAACTAAACCAATCGAAGGACTAATGCATCGAACCACTTAAACTTGCATTATTCATCCTTAGAGTGAGAAAACCGTATCTCATATCACTTTATTCTGGGTCTACTTTAAATATGCTCATGATTTCATTGTATTTATGCCAGATCTTCCAGGGATTAACGAAAATAACAAAACAAGTAGTTCAATGAGGAATACATTTCCTTTATATCCGTACAATCGCACTTATATGATTATGACAACTCATCACTTTTCTTGTTTATGAATGAGACTGTACAACAACAGAGAATGAACTCATCGAATAGAACCTCTTCGCTGAACCGCATGTCTTCTTCTTTTCATTAACATCGTTAAATATCATTTTCAAGGTAACAAGTTTCCCATAAATGTTTGACGATATTGTTCTGATGACTTAAAGCTTATCCTACTAAAATCTATAACTTCTGAGGCTTCATAATTCTCACTGTATTACTGGCTTCTCAACAGTTAATTTGTTCAGTGTTACATATTTTTGACATTCTACTCGTTTTAATCAATATAGATCTTTATGTACTTTTCTGTTAGAAAGTCCTGTGTTTGATTGCATTTATATAAAGCATAGTGCTTTGGGAATAAATGAATACTTAATTTTCCGTCTACCTGTTTTTGACACGTTATTCCATTAATTCTTCTAAATGTATCACATGGGACCGCTAGTTAGTCAATTCAAAACACTAGTTCACACTCATAGCGGCAAATTCCATCAGGCTTTTAGTGCATGTATTATTTCCAATAGACTTCGTATTCGTCTACTGCACACAGCTGAGGCGATAGGCAGTCGAACTAATAAACCTAAACTAATCATTCAAAAGAAGTTCGTACAGCCATTATCCCTCCCTTGGCCTATTCAGACAACCAACTAATGACTTCTACACCAATCCTTGTTTATATTTTCAACCCCTTTCTTATCATCCCTTAATCTAATCACATCTTCATTATAAACTTGTTTTATTTACTTCCCTTACAATCTAACATTACTTAATCGGTTAATTTGTTTTTACTAGCCTTTATCCACTACTTCCAAATGAACATTTGTTTGTTTAGTCATGCTGTTTTTCATTATTCGTGTTATCACAGATTACCTCACTTTTTCATCCTTATTACTGATAAGACGATTATTATTATTATTATTTATAAAGTTATATTTGTAAAATCTCAGCGAAATTGGAATGATTAATTCCAACGTTTCGTTCGGCAATCTGGTCCGAACTTCTTCAGGGAAATTAATCGAAATTAACATAACAAAGTTTATATATAAAGGGACAACCTCTTGTTTTTAAAATTTTGTCCAATCATGAGTCATGCAACAGTTATCAATATGTATAATAAATAAATAAATAGAATTGTATGTTTATATAGAAGTACATTGTTTATGCTCTTTCATTCTTATATTTACCTGTCTAAAGGTGGTTCCAAAGAGCTCTGCAGACTTGAAGAAGCTAGAAAACAACTCAGCGATTGCACTACATTCAATAGAAACGGGACACAAAATCGACTTTGATAAGACTAAGGTTTTACAGAAAGGTTTTGGTTCATATCAAGAAAGACTGACTGCAGAAGCCCTACATATATGGGTGAATCCCAACAGTTTAAACAGACGTGATGGTGTGATGTTAGCTGATGCATGGCAAATCCTGACTAATAAACAAAATAAAATTTGATATGTATGAACAAGTAGTCACACTTGGTCAAATTCCCGATCGTCTACGTCTTCTTATGGAGAGAATAACAAATCTATAAAAAAAATTAAATTATATTTGTAAAAATGTCAATTATTTTGTAACTATCCGGTCAAATCTTGATCACAGCTCATATGAGAATAGCAAATGTTTTATGACTGTTCCACCCACACACACCATTGTATCCTGCATATACACATATATTTTAACAAAAGTAGACAAACTAGGATGAAACAGCAGCTGTCCAGTACTCCCTGGTTTTCAATGGTTCTCTAACTGATATCAATCCGTGATCAACTCGTAAAACATAACTAATCCTTACAAACCAAAACTATAGAAAGTTAATCTGATGCTCGCTAGTGACTTGCTACAGGTTGGAGTTTCCTGAGTTCTAGTGAGAAGTCGTGACCAGTGAGGTCCAATTAGATGTCACGTGTGTGGATGGATGTCCCACCAACGACAATGGTTGGGGTCGCGCTAAATCACGAATTGGTAGAAGTTAAAATTCACGAGCCATTGAATCGGGTCCCAGTGGCTGAATGGTATACGAGCTTGCCTTGTAACCGGAAGGTCCTGGGTTCGAAACCCAGTGGGTGCGTACTGCCGATGATTCCCAAACTAGGATGAAACAGCAGCTGTCCAGTAATCCCTGGTTTTCAATGGTTCTCTAACTGATATCAATCCGTGATCAACTCGTAAAAGTAGACAAATTTTGAAAGTCTGAGGTCAAAAAAGTTTTTGATCATAGTTCATACAATTTTTGTTTTGTTTAGTATACCTATTGATTCATATTTAAAAATAAGAGATGTACTTTTATATAAACATACAATTCTATTTATTTATTTATTATACATATTGATAACTGTTGCATGACTCATGATTGGACAAAATTTTAAAAACAAGAGGTTGTCCCTTTATATATAAACTTTGTTATGTTAATTTCGATTAATTTCCCTGAAGAAGTTCGGACCAGATTGCCGAACGAAACGTTGGAATTAATCATTCCAATTTCGCTGAGATTTTACAAATATAACTTCATAAATGTCTACTTCTCACTCAGCGCTGAATTATTTTGCAACTATCCGGACAAATCTTGATCGCAGTTCGTATGGATTATTATTATTACTATTATTATTATCATTTGTATTCACCATCTTATTATCCTATAGACAAAACACCTTGATTGGTTTATATTTGAATTTTTATTTGTAAACTTATGTATACTAGAGTTAAGCCTGATGAGATCTAATTGAAAACAATATTGTTCGCTTAAATGTGTTGTTCACGTATTATTTAACAAAGTTTAAGTAAAGCGATCAAAAAATATAACGGAATGGCAAATGACTTAGTAACATGTCCATAGTTAGGCTGGGAAACTACTGAATGTACGAGCATATTTCAAATTCCTGTTTTGAAAACAAACTAGCGACTAGTCCTTTTTGGTTAGCAACATTAAATGACTCTCGCTACTGCAACCAAGCGGTAATTCGAAATCAAAGGTAAGATAATCTACTTATTGTGTGGTTACAGTTAGCTTTCAGAGACTACTAACAATAGAGAACAATGCAAGAGCAAAGTCTACTTTAAGGGAGTCAAACACAATAACAATTTCAATGTAGCACTATTTAAGTAACTGCCAGAATAAAAGAATTATTGAGAGTCAAATTTACCATTTAATTATTCTTATGTTGTTTGTACGCGACTTAGAAACAACCGTCAACCTTCTACAAAGGATGTATATAGAAATGTACCACCAGTATTCCGATTTCTGCACTGTTGTAAGGAATATTTCGATATCAACTTGTCAGATCAATATATTACCATAAAACGCCATTATTTACAGCAGCGTGGAGAATCCATCTTATCGTCCATTTATTAACAACTTCCTGCAGGTTCATTATGACACATACTCTAAAATAGATGCACGTTTTTATGATTGGGAAATAGCATAATACCCTATCCGTGAGCCTAGATGTTGGATACAGTCAGGTGAAGACCAATGTTTGATATCATCTCGTCACATGAAGTTAGATATAGATCTTTAATTCACCAACGCACATTTTAAAACACACCTTAGAGCCTCAACAGCATCTATAATGACTGCTATGCAGAAGGCAGTTCAAGCTATACCCCTTGTTGCAATAGGTCGAATGGAGTCAATCAGCTGCTGACATCAGTCGGATGCAACCACTATTTCTCGACTAAGCGATTTTGTAATCTACCAAAACATTACAATTTTTATGTGTGCAAGAATATTTTTGCACCTTCGTTCATCTAACTAGAAATAGTTTACGAATAATAATAATAATAATAGCACATTAAGGCCTAGAAGTATAGTTGTATTTTCTGTGAGGCAGGTACAAATCCCACAGCTTCCACATACTCGAAATTTCCACTTTTATAACCGTGTTGATGAGAGACGTGATTATTAATTATGCCCGACAACAAAAGTGATCGTTTTGAGCTAAGTACAGTAAACACAGTACTGAATATAACCATAGCTTCAAATGAATAGCATCTGCATAAATTACAAAAGAAAATGCTACATCTAGCACTGTTGATTTGCTGGAATATATTAGTAGTAGTAGTATGTATATAGTACAATTAAAAACAATAAGGATTTTAACAAATTTATTTCAGAAATATTTACACACCACAGATAAGTCTTTTTTTAAGTAAAGCAAATTAAAAGAAAATTATGTACATAATCGTCACACATGGAAAAGGATTAAATTCAAGATAAACCATGCCCTATCCAACAGAACCCATATAGTTGACAGATTTCGACGGATCAGATGGAAAGAACTTTTGACACTGTGTCATTAGTCTTTTTATAGCCTGGATATATTTACGTTGTGTTTCATCATTTAAAACATGTGCCACGTTCTTGGCATAGATTTTTTCTTGTGCAGTTCTTGAATGGATACCGTGGTTGGTTACACCCAGTGGCCAAGGAGCATTGCCGATAGCTAGCTCTAAATACGCATCATTAGCCTTTAAAAGAAAATTAATTCGAATTATGAAATAAATGGTAGTTGAAAAAAGGAAATTATTGATTTAAGTAGTAAGGGACACGAGTACGCAATATCATCGACAAAATATATTTATCAAAAAATTATGGAAGCACTAAAATGCAGTGTGCGTGCGTGTGCACAACTAAGCCTTAAATCAAAAAATAAATACCATGTAGCTCAGTGAAGCAAGGCAGTTTTACACACTTGCCTACAAATCAAAAGGAATACTACTTAGAAATAGGAAAAAACTATTTTGACTTGAAACTCATTCAGTACAGTTGAATTCATTTCGCACCACTACCATAGGTCTACTCCTTATGTGCATATATTTCGAAATAAATCGATTTAGAGTCTGGAAAACAGGCTCAAGAAGCAATATTATCATTATTATTATTCTTTTGAATACCCTGAGGAACATAGGGCTTCAACGGCACACCATTTTATCCTGTTATCTGCAGTTCATTTTAGCGGATCCCATGATCGTCAGTAATTTCTCATATCCTCCACACAACCTCCAGGCACCCAAAACGTTGTTTCCTTGAATACAGGGAGCGTGATGTCACTCAAATGACTCCTCGACAAACGTCTAATCCACTCCAATCTCCTCCCTTCGCTTCGTTTGCCAACAGGTTCTCGGTTGTCTCGTTACCAGAGTTCCTTGTTGCTTATTCTTCCTGGCCATTCGATGTTCAGTATCGAGCGAAGGCACTTGTTGATGAGAGTCTGTAGCCTGTTGGAAATGATGCATGTGACGCCGCCCTAAGCCTCTGAATCGCACAGAAGCACTCATTTCACATTAGTGTTGAGAATCCGAATCTTGTTCTTTATACTGATTGCAGCAGATCTCCACATTGATTTCAGGGTAACCAATGTCTGTTTTGCTTTCCAGGTCTGATTCTGGCTTTAATATCCTCATCCCTGTCACATGTAGTTGAGACAATGCTGTCTAAATAAGTGAAATAAGTGACCTCGTTCAAATTTCTTCCCTTAGTAGTGACTGGTGTTTGTTGTTATTGTTATTAGTGGTGATGTTGGTAATGAAAGTGGTTAGTTGTCTTCATCCCCATCCATCTTCTCTATGTTCACTTGAAGTCCTGTCTTCGCTGTCAGCCCCAGCTGTCAACTTGTTGTTTTTCGCCTGTAGATCTTAGAGTTCGACATAAATCATCTGAGAAGTTAATATCGTCTAGAGTCTACTTGTCGTTCCAGCGTATTTCTGTCTCTGTACACCCCCCCCCCACAGTTGATTGCTATTCTACGCTTTGTCCAATGATGATGGGTAGAGTTGTGACTTGGTCCTCATATGATTTATTCTTCCTGAATCTAACTCGTTTGGAATGCAGTTTTGCATCCAGAACATGTTTCAGTCTTTGTAGGGTGGATGAGGCTTACATGCTCCCCACGGTCTACTGCATAATCCAGTCAACTACAATCAGAAGCATCATCCGTGAGAGCAGGTGACCATGTCTTACTTACTCTTATCTTCACATCAATAGCATCTCTCAGTATTACATGTTGAATCATTCGACATGTGGCATCATCACTTCCAATTGGTAAGGGGCATCCCCTTCTTTCCAAACTTTCTAAAATAGTCCCCACTGATATTTCTAGGTCCGTTTTAAGTGCTTCTGGGGAGTTCTATCCAGTCCTGCTGAATTTCCGGATGGCTTTGAGTAGCTTTATAGCATTCAAACCTGCTTTTGTGAAATTGTTCACTGGAAGTTCTGCGCCTGCTATTAGTGCTGTTTCTGGACAAGTTGCAAGTGGTGTTCAGTTCAAGAACCTTTTGCAGTGATCAGTTCAGAGTTCACTTTGTTTCTCCTTTTTGGAAATTAGGTTCGTCTGAATATCTTTTATTGGTTTCATCAGAGTTGATCTTTTCTGGGATAAAAACCTGGTTATGTGATATAATGTTCTGGGACCTGTTTCATCTAGAGTCGATTGTGCTTCAATTTCCAAAGTGCCGTAGAATTGCTTTGTGTCTTTTCTATCACTATTCACTTCTTCATTCAGTGAGTTACACATTTAACTCAGCTTCTCCTTTCGTTGCCCACTTTGCACCAAATTAGCTTCTTTAGCACCATCCGTTCCTTCTCTAATAGCTTTCAGGCATCCAAATAAAGTCATTCTTTGTTTCGCCCCTTGTTTCTTCCTATGACGGCCGTACATGTTTCCTTCAAAATTACTTTATTAGTTCCAGTGTTTCTTCATACATGACTCTTCAGTGTTACTACATAGTACCTACAACTTCGCCCTTGTGTAAGCACTGAAAATATCCTCTAGAGTTCCAATGTTCAGTTACTCGATTTTGAACTTGAATTGTGGTCTATCATCCATCCTTCGGTCTTTTTTCCGGGATTAAGACGGGCTACAAAAATTCTACCATTTGAAATCAGTGTAGATTAGTTACTCGTACGGTTTTGTGCATTAGGCTACGAGGTACATTTAACCATTTTACTTGTTGAAATACTACCGGGTTACCCATGGCCAGATAGATTGAATGGATTAGGAGTTTATAACACACTAGTCGAAAGTTCGGCGATAAGTTAGGCAATCTAAAAGGTTAATTTTCTAAAAGCGAAACAGTACAATGTTGAGAGTAGACCTGTGCATGAGTTGAATGTAGTTCCACAAATCTGAAGAAAATTTGGTGTACCGATTACTAATATAGCCTACAACTGAAATGGTAACAATGACCAGTGAAAGCAAGTAGGAAAATAAAGAGTTCATTTCCTCGTAAACCGAGTACACCTCTGAACTTTATTCAGAATGAATGTCCACTTTGCACATTTTCAGCTTCAGATAATAGTAACTAGAAATAGTAGGAACCGACTGTATATATTAACTTTGAATCTTTAAATTACATATGCCCTAAACAGCATGATTACGAGAAAAACTATGAGAGGAACATTTTGGACCACAAACAATAGATAATTCATCGAACGTCAAGTAAATGATAGTTTAGTTGCCTAATTTAAGAAATATTCGTGTAGACATAATATTCAACCTGACGAAATGTCCTCCAGTTGCAAATGTTTAAACACTAACTAGTCAGTGCAACAGATATATTACAGAAAAACACGTTGGCAGTGAAACTAACCTTTAGATAATTTCGATCCATCATCAAAACCATAATTTTAACCAAGGAGTTCAGAATATCCCCTTTACAGCGCTGGAAGGAGAATGAAGTTAAGTGAGGAGCAAGTACCAAAACTTACATTGTTTTGAAGTGCACGAAGAAGTGGCTTGATATATTCTACAGTCTGTGTGTAAGTTGCACTAGCCATTTTTCCGGAATAAGAAAGCTTTTCCTCTTTAGTTCTAGTGTTTAGAGCATGACCCCATTTAGACAACAGGAACTAATCAAGTGAAAAAAGTAAAAGCATGAATTGTGAAAAAATATACGTAGATCCAATCAAAAGTAAATGGATGAAAAACAATACGTCACAGTCTAACGTCGAGGAATCCAAATGACAGTAAAGGCACACGTATTTTGTAAATACAATTATACACTACAAATAATTGGTCAAACTTGAAGAATCTTCCCATGGAATGAACCACGGCTATTTAGTACTTGTTGTTAATGAGATTAAGGGATAATTAAATGCCAGAATATAAACAGGAGTAGAACAATAGTCTGAGTGGAATTTCAGAGTTACTACAGGTAATTAGTGAAAACTTATCAGTTGATTGTGAGTTATATTTAATGACTGATAGAAAAACTGAAAGATCTCAAGGTGTACGTATTTTACTTTTACGAGTATCCCTTACTCAGTTAGAAGGAAAATAATACCAAAACCATAAAAAAATTGAATCTTTTTCCCAATAAACTCATTTTAAGGTGTATATTCTTAAACAGGCATGGATTATTTTAAATAATTTATAATTTGACATTCGTATTGAAAATCCAAATCTCAGTCTTTACGCTGATTGAAGCTTTTCACAGTGATTTTAGAGTAGTGAATGTCTGTTATGCTTTTCGGGTCTGATTCTAGCCTTAACATCCTTATCCGTACCACCTTCAGTTGAAACGACGCTGCTTATATAAGTAAAAGATGATGCTACATAGTCTCTCCGACTTTGCCCTGATGGCTGTAGTGAGGATGTCCCCCGTAGTTCAACTTCTGGGTGTTGAACTTGAATTGTGGTCTATCGTCCGTTTATTTGAAGGCTTTAAACTTAATCAGGATGGTTACTCATACTAGATAGTCATCTGACTCCACATCTGAACCTCTTATCAATATAGTGTCTAGCAGGCTGTGTCTGACGTTTCTTGAGATTGAGATGAAGTCCATCTGGTTTTGGATGGCATTCAAAGCGTCTATTAGCAGTTTAAGGTGACCGTCTGGGATCTTCCTCCCTAATGTTCGCAATTGTTCTGAGTTGCATGTAGGAGCGTAGTACTGAATAACTGTAACTTTTCAACCTCTTGAATTGAATCTTTCTGGTATTATCCTGGAAGATATCGGTTGCAACTACATAAGTGCTTACGATGACGTTGGTGACATTATGATAACCACTACCTCAGTGTACTCTTGGTTGCCATTTAGGTGACCGAACTACATTATTAAACTTCCAATTAACAATTTGGAATGTCCACATCCACTCAATCTGTTCTCTCAGATTCTCAGCAATTATATGCTATATCCTCTCATTTCTTCTTCAGATTAAGCAGCCTTCCTAGCCAGCTTCAAATGGAAATCGGACATACCATGTCTTTATGCTTCGTTTTGCTTTCATCGAAAGAAGAATGCTTTCACTAGCCTTGGTCATTTCATCTTTCCGATTCCAACAAAGAATAGATTTTTGATATTTTTCTGGGTACTGAAGATTCTGTAAAGTCTGAGTTGACTTTCTGGGGTAGGGTTGCTAGCCCCAACGTCCATTTTTCGCTTTTTCGAAGCTTAGGACAGGTTAGTATATTAGGTGAAGTTAGGGCACCCGGATTCCATGTATATTCAGAAAAAAAGCGCAGTGAACAACTCTAATTTCATGAAGAATTGGTGAACACAATAAAGATAACTTATCATTTCTAATACCGTGACGGAATAAATGTATATTTATGTGACCAAATACAAAATCTTGCGAAAATTTATAGCTTTACCTTCAAATAACGGAGGACGTGGTCGATTACTTGCTCATGAAAAGCTTCGTCAAAATCATTCGTACATACATTATTTGGTGAAAGTTTGCTGATAGCGACCACTGCAGTTGTTGCGTCATCAGTAGCCGTGCCTTCTTTTAGTGTGACGTAGCGGGCCAAATCAACTTTCATCTTTTCTAGTTGTTCTTCTGTCAGAGTATTCTTTTTTGTTTCAACGTCCAAAGTAGAAGAAACTGATGAACTTTCGGTGGATTGAGATTCTGAATCCTGTCTTTTACGACCGGATTTGTAAAACTCTTCATCTTCTGCATCATCTATCTAACAACAATGACAAAATGAATAGACAACCAACCTTGTCTAACGCCGCGATAAGATCATTGCGCAATCCCTTTGATTCCGGTTCCAGAAGTTGAACTCTTTTTAATCGTTGAAAAGTATCATAGTCACTCTCACCAAATAATCGTATCGGTTGATTACGTTCCCTTAGAAGGCGAATAACCTAGAAACTAAGTTTAAGGTGATAAACGCACTTACTTCTTTGCGCGGCATAAGTTTTCCTTTCTCTCTCTCCTCTCGGTTTCTTTCTTCGAACTTTTTTAGCAAAAGATCCTCCTCATCTGTCTATAACAAAAAGTTATCTATTCCAGGAAACATTAGTACCTTTGTTTTATAATCATAATCTTCATAATTGTTTGCTTGCTCCTTATTACGCTTGGATTTACTTAAATACTCTTCTTCCTCTTTTTGTTTCAATAATGACCGTTTGAAGAACTTGTTGTTACCCTAAAATCCATGATCATAAGAACAAATCAAAGTTCTTAACATACTACAAGTCCACTGCTCGCGAGTTTTTCGCGTTGTCTTGCGATTTCTGCCTTCACAAGATCCATTCAATACAAATAGAGCTGCAAGGTAAACAATTAAAAGAAATACAATTAGCAATAAGTGAAGAATAATTACCAATGATGGAAAACGAACTTGAGATATCTCAATAAGCAGACACGTCATTCATAACCATTAAGGTATTTCACTTTGGCACTTACAATACTGTAAACGATTCCAAACTACCATGATATGAGCATAAAATACTAAAACATTGACAACGACCAAAAAAGACTAAACAGACATTGGAAAGTGATTACAGAGTTTAGAAAGGAAAGCATGGGTCTTATTCAGTAAGATATATATTAAAACGACCGAAAAATTGCATTATAAGTCAATAATACCCATTTTTTAACTTAATAATACCGCATCACTACTGTCTGAACCAGATGAAGTACTGTACCCAAACTGAACAAACTTCGATCATTACATCCTATTTGAAAAAAGCAAAAACAACGGTTTGTGCAGGATATTTTGCAATGAATTATCACTTAGTAATCCAGCGATTTGGAAGATTGGGTTTTGATGAAGAACAACTTACCGTCATAATACCTCAACTACTGACCAGCAGTTCAAGCAGTTAACGTTTACTCTGTAGGTGGGACTAGTCAATTTCCCCTGAGTTGTGTAAAGTGTCTTGTTTTCCTAAGAAGCGGTTTCATATTCAATAATCACTAATATATATATTCATACAATTCCATTTAAGGTGACAACAGACAGTACGAAAGCTATAATGAGCAGAGTACTAAAAATGACAGAACCAATATAGATGATATCCAATTGAAGTTTTAATCAATAGATAGACAGTGCAAACACAATTTAATTAATCAGAGTGAGTTAAGGAATTATGGTTGGAAACATCAGCAATCAATAGTAATACATGCAACATAGTGAGAAAATGTTGGAGTAGGCAACGAGATGCAGATATGCAAGTCAGTTTTAGCATATCAACATTTTGTGTGTAAGACTGATCATTCAGAGATCCTAATGTTTTCCCCTCAAGTAATGCCAATTTGGAGAAGAAACTTAGCTCCTTTATCCACCTTTCATTACCATGAAGTTGTTAGATGGCTCGTCACGCCACATTCTGCTCACACAACTATGCCTGACTAACTGGTTTCAACAAAGAGCTTTGCACAGATATGCAGCAGTTCGAGTTCCCACTCTCCATGTACCAAACAGCCCGAAAAGAGGGTTCAAGTTCAAAAAGTTCAAAAGAGAGACAGTGAACAGAAAACTGAAGGAAGAAGAATAGCAGTATGGGGAAACAGTAGTTTTATTGGATATGATATATCATAAAGAGTGAATGCATATGAGCGATCTGAACGATTTTGAGCCATATCATAACTATGCCACTTCACAAATATAATGTCTCAATGAATGCTGCATTCGCTGACACCTTTATCTTGTTATACGTTACTTAATGTGTATCCAGCTGATTATCCCTACTTCCAATCAAACTTGCAGAATCCTCAACATAGATGCTATTTATTTAATGTTGTATGAGAACTCACAGAAATTCTAGTCACTCTCCGTATCTTCCATTATTTACTTAAGCAACTAAACACATTTTATCAAAGTTTTACAGGCAACCTTCAATACTTTATTCTGCTGCAGAACTTTGCGATTGACATTCAGTAGCAATTTAGTGTTTACAATGCTGCAACCCATACCTAACATTCATCATAGGTGAAATACAGTAATTAGCTTCTCAGAGATGACTTATGCTGAACTCATCAAAAAGCTAAAAACGTAACTGTTTCCCTCCAATCAACCACAAAAGTAATGTACACCAGCTAGTGTATGGTCTGAGTCCAGGCATGTATCTGAGATGGAACAGTCTTCTCCTGCCAATAACATATCAAATTCAGTTACAACTCAATTACCCTGAACACACTTGTGTGTCACACATTGTGTGAGGGCTGATGACACAACGCGATTACTAAGGCTGGATTAAGTGGACTGAGGCTGGAGCCCGGGACTAATTGGCTGAGTGTTTAAGCCAAACTATAACCTGGACAAAATAGTAGGACACGATCGTTCGTCAGACATTGGACATATATAAGCGACACGACCAAGTCAAGTTAGCAACCATCAGTTAAATGTACTGCTAACAACCCAACCAAATTATTTTAAAACTCTGCGCTAAAATAACTAAATGCATCATAGAAATGTTGTGAACTTTTCTTATAATACGTATCTAATCATATTCATATCTCTACCGCTATTAACACTCTTTTTTTCCTTTATATGTTTAAGCCATTCCGGCTTCATTGTAAAATGAATAAAGCCTAAATTCTTGGTTCATTCGTCTTTTCAAGATTCAAGCATCACTCATCGTTCTAAGACTCAATCACCTTCGTAACAATTTATTCATTTTACAATATTCATGGAACGATTTTTCCGACCTGATCGGTTCGACGTAGAACCTAACGCAGTTGGAGCTGCCAAGAAGTGGGATCACTGGTTTGCGACTTTCTCCTACTTCATTGAATCAATGGGATCCGAAAATCCTTCGAAACTACATATTCTCTTCAATCATATTTCTACTTCTGTATACGAATGCATTTCTGAATGCAAAACATACGAAGAAGCTATCGACACTCTCAAGAGTCTCTACATGCAGCCTTGCAACGAAGTGTTTGCTCGACACTTGTTAGCAACGTGTAAACAAGAATCTGGCGAAAATCTGGATCAGTTTGTTCGTCGACTCAAGTCGCTGACTACAGATTGTTCATTCAGGCAGTTACAGCCGAAGAACATCGTAACGAATCTCTACGTGATTCATTCATCTCAGGTATACAGTCTTCGATGATACGCCAGAGGCTATTAGAACAGCGTACTTTAACTTTTCAAGCGGCATACGATCAAGCACGAGCTCTAGAGATGGCACATCAACAATCGCAGTCATACAACAATCCTGTTACACCTTGCGCGTCCATTTCTTTACATGATGTACCTCATTCATCAGATTCCACACCCTCCGTCAATGAAACAACCATTGCTGCCGTTGAATCCAAATGCTTTTTCTGTGGTAATCGTAGACATCCTCGTTCCAAATGCCCCGCCCGTGATGCAGTTTGCAAAGCTTGTGGCAAGCAAGGACATTTTCAGAAGGTTTGCAGGTCTGCGCCATCTACGAAAAAAGGTCCATCTTCAGTTAACTCTATAATTTCATCTCTCGTTGTGGCTTCAGCACCTCAAAGTCTCACTGATGCTGTTACGCAGCTTACTGTCAATGGGAAATCAATGCAAGCTCTAGTGGATACCGGAAGCAGTGAGAGCTACATCTCTTCCTCAGTTGTTCGTAAGTATAACTGGAAAGTCCATAAGTCTCGAAACAGAATCACAATGGCGAGTACGAATCTTACTAGTCATACTGAAGGACATTGTTTTCTATCCATCTGCTATAAAAACCACACTTATGATCTATTCAAATTTTCCATTCTTCATAATTTATGTGCAGACGTCCTTCTTGGACATGATTTTTTAAAACTTCACAAACACATTGAGATTCTCTCTGTGGTCTACCTTGTGTTCGCGTCGACCTGCCTACTCTGTTTGAAAATCTTTCAAAAGACTGTAAACCGATCGCGATAAAATCCCGGCGTTATTCTCGTGAAGATGAAAGTTTTATTTCCACCGAAGTCAACCGGTTACTGCAAGAAGGTGTTATTGAACCTTCTAATTCTCCTTGGCGAGCTCAAGTTCTTGTTACGTCAAACGAACGCCATAAAAAGAGGATGGTAGTTGATTATAGTCAGACAATCAATCGATTCACTTTTCTGGATGCTTACCCATTACCTAGGATTGACGAAATGATAGAAAAAATCGCACAATATGACATATTCAGCACTCTTGATCTGAAGAATGCTTATCATCAAATTGCCCTAAGGAACGAAGATAAACCATATACTGCTTTCGAGGCTTGTGGGAAACTTTACCAATTTTGCCGAATTCCTTTTGGTGTTACCAATGGCGTAGCTTGTTTTCAACGCATTATCGATGAATTGATCAGTAAAGAACAACTCACAAGCACGTTTGCCTACATTGACAATGTCACTATCTGCGGCAAAACTCAGGAGGAACACGACAAAAATCTAAACAAGTTTATGGTAGCAGCACGCAATTATGGAATAACCCTTAATGATTCCAAAAGTGTGATCTCAAGCAGAAGCATACAATTACTCGGTTATGAAGTTTCAAAGGGGTTATTAAACCAGATCCCGATCGGCTAAAACCTCTTCGTGATCTAGAACCACCCACAGATATCAAATCTCAACAACGGGCCGTTGGATTATTTGCTTATTATTCACAGTGGATCCCTCGCTTCTCAGATAAAATCCACCCATTGGTAAATAATCGGATTTTCCCTCTTGATATCGAAACTCGAAATGCTTTTGACAAACTGAAAGACGACTTAGAACGTGCAGTCGTTGTGGTAGTTGATCCGAAAGCACCCCTTGTTGTTGAAACAGATGCTTCAGATGTCTCAATTGCAGCTACATTAAACCAGAATGGTAAACCTGTCGCCTTCTTTTCTCGAAGTGAGAAACATCATTCATCGGTTGAGAAAGAAGCCTATGCCGTGGTTGAAGCAATTCGTAAGTGGAAGCATTACCTTCTCGGAAATCACTTCAAACTTGTCACTGATCAACGTTCAGTAGCATTCATGTTTGACAAGATTCATAAAGGCAAAATCAAGAACGATAAAATAATGCGTTGGAGAATTGAGCTATCCCCTTATCAATATGACATCATTTATCGTCCTGGAAGGGATAATCAAGCTGCTGATACATTTTCCCGTAGTTTCTGCGGTTCCTTGCAGTCAGTGTGCGACTTGAAATTTCTCCATGACTCTATGTGCCATCCTGGAGTTGTCCGAATGATGCATTTTGTACGCTCGAGAAACCTTCCATTCTCCCTTGACGAGGTGCGCAATGTAACCAGTAAATGCGTGACATGCTGTGAGTTAAAGCCTCAATTTTACAATCCCTCTAATTTCAAACTCATAAAAGCAACCCAACCTTTTGAAAGGTTAAGCATCGACTTTAAAGGACCTCTACCGTCAGCTAGCCGCAATCACTATCTGCTCACGCTGATCGATGAATATTCTCGATTCCCCTTTGCATTCGCCTGCCCCGACATGTCGTCTCAAACGGTAATGAATTGCCTTTGCCAACTGTTTTCGATTTTCGGTATGCCTTCTTACATACATACCGACAGAGGCGCTGCTTTCATGTCTACCGAATTACGGGCATTTCTTCTGGAGAAAGGCGTAGCAACCAGTCGTACTACCTCATACAATCCTCAAGCCAATGGGCAGGTCGAGCGCCTCAATGGAACACTTTGGCGTGCCATCACTCTAGCATTAAGATCACGGGGCCTACCAACGGCACAATGGGAGTCTGTTCTACTCGACGCCTTGCATTCCATCAGATCTTTGCTCTGTACTGCAACGAACGCCACGCCACACGAACGACTGTTTACCTATAACCGAAGATCGACATCTGGGACAACTCTTCCTACTTGGCTCACTGTACCAGGACCAGTACTTCTCCGGCGGAGTGTTCGTCAGTCCAAATTCGATCCCCTGGTTGAAGAGGTGGAGCTATTGAATTGTAACCCGCAATTCGCTCACGTTCGCTTCGGTAATGGACGTGAAGATACAGTTGCTCTTCATCATCTGGCACCCAAAGGCGAAGATATAGATCAAGTTGAAAATTCAATACCGGAGGGCGACGCAATTCCTGAGCAACAAGTAAATGGGGATGCGACCACTGATCCTAATATTCTTCGTGAAGAAAATACAACTGAAACGAACAACGGGCGTATTCTTTTGGAAAAACAACAACGTGTACGGCCTTACAATTTGCGTACCAGAGAAGCGTGACATAATGGCTCATTCCTTTTCAAGCCGCAGTGAATGTTGTGAACTTTTCTTATAATACGTATCTAGTCATATTCATATCTCTACCGCTATTAACACTCTTTTTTTCCTTTATATGTTTAAGCCATTCCGGCTTCATTGTAAAATGAATAAAGCCTAAATTCTTGGTTCATTCGTCTTTTCAAGATTCAAGCATCACTCATCGTTCTAAGACTCAATCACCTTCGTAACACAAACACCACAATTTTCATTTGCTCTTAGGACGACTAATCATTCAGTCAATGCTAGTCCACAAAGCATAAAAATCTTGCTGCAGCTGTAATATAAAATTAACGGAAGTCAGATTTCATGGGTCACTTGATTACGTTCATGTGGCTGAATGGTCAACGAACTTGCCTCGGAAAGTGAAGGTTCTGCGTTCGACTCCCGGTGGGGTCATGAATGAGCACCACTGAAGCGTCCCTAAGTAGGATGAAACAGCTGTCTAGTACACCCTGGTTTTAAATGGTTCTCTAAATGACATCAATCCATGATCAATCATGAAATATATATATATATATATATATATATACTACTTTTCATTTCATGTTGTAATACATCTGTCTTTTTTTGACATAGAACTTTGCACATATGTGCGGAAGTTCAAGTCGCCACATTCCGTGTAGCACGCGAAGCAAGAGAAGAAAGTACATGAAAAGCATAATAGAAACAGTGAGCAGAGGTGTGAGACAAAGGAGTAATAAAGAAATACAAAACAGTTTCATTGAAGATCATAAGTCACAGGGAGTGGATACATGACTAAAACGATGGCTTGACCTACGAAGATATTACGTACTTTCTCCTCAAAATATGGCAAGCCTGTACGTTGAAACTAAATTTCAAAGAGGCGAGCTCATTATACACAGTAATGTGGGAAGAAATGAACATGTAGTCCACAGTGTAAAATCTATATCAGACAACTAATAACACGCAAAACTAATAGCGACAATTGGTGATAAGTGTGTGTGACTGAAGTGATCTTGGATCTTTTTTATAGGTCACCACTAATATGAAGGCTACAATTGAGCATATTTAGCAAAATAACATCACTACAATGTTTATATATTGGAAAATTCTAAACAAGTAAACGAAAGCGCTTATAGATTGAACGTAAGAAACAAAGTCTTATTACTACCCAGCATTGACCATCAGATAAACAGACTGTGTTTAAATGATAATTACATACACTTAGTGTGACGTATTGATGCCAACTACCTCACCCTCTAGGACAATAGGACTTTCCACAACCTAGGATTTACTCACAG